GTGCTCATGCCCCTTTATCATGCAAAAAACCATTTTCAAAGAGCGTCCCACGCCCTGAAAAGACCTTCCTTGTAAGAGCTGACCAACCAGTGGAGTAGGAGTGACCTCAAAACTATTCAGAATTAAATTACTGAGTTACCATTCGAAACTTCGATCTTATACCCTTTTCCTAATTGGAATCCTCCCGTGCCGGATTGACGGACCATATACATAGGCTTCTTCTTCGGCTGTGAACTCTTTCCACTCTTTCCATTTACCCGTGGTGACTTCGTTTTTCGTACCTGCCTCTACCTATAGGGGATGGGAGAATTTTCCACGATAAACAGCTTATGGGACGTAAACGCTGGAGTTGAACTAAGTCCAAAAAAAGATAAACTTCAGGAAAACAGGTAGAAGATAGGCGCAATCAGGTATTATCAGAGCTGGCCAGTTCCTGTCCTAAAACGATCATTCTCTTTGGGAATGCTTGTTTCGAAGCAAAAAATCCTCTTTGAAACTCTTAGAATGGGCTCAGGATAAGTCCTGATGACACCAATCCAATCCCAGTGTCGTTCTTGTATCAAATTACTGTCGCCTGACCAGTTTCGTCTTCGAAGTCGACAAAAACGATAGCCTAAATGCTATCCGACCGAAAAAGTCGGGACGTGCACCCAATATGGGTTCCCGTTCCCTCACGAAAAACGCTATTCGGGAATGCTTGAAAAGCAAATTCCAATAAAATCAGATAAGCAACCCTGTACCGCCCACCCCCTCCTCTCCCCCCTGGCATTTACTGAAATCCCAACTCGTCCTATTACCTAAAACTGTCGAAAATTTGTCTAATAAGAGACCAATGAGAATTCGAGAGATCAGTCATTACTAATGAAGAAAGGCCAGACCTGTTCGGCGACCTGCTCGGGGCTCTCAAGATGGTGTGCAGATTTCAATCCCAGGAGCTCCTGAAAGAAGTGCTAGAAGCCTCTTATAATGAGGATTACTTCTGAAACCACTAGGAAATATAACAATTTCATTGATCTGACAATATTTTAGGCCACATTTAAAAATTATTTTAGGTCAAATTTAATATTTAAGTATAATTCTAAATTCAGAACTTTTCTTCCATGACTATAAAATTATATCATGATGGCGAAACACTTTTTTTCTAAAAAAGAATTCGAAAGTCCAGAGAAATGATTAAAGAAAAGATTTACATAAAAAATAGCAAACAAACACTGAATAAAAGGTAATTATCAAAGGAAATTGAAAAGAAAAATAAAAAATAAAAAGAGCATAAGTTATAGTAATTGAAAATAAATAATAATTACATAGTAATCTAATGATATACTTACATGTTCTCGTTCTTTCAGCCAATGGCTAAGTGTCTCGAACACCTCAAGCGTATGAGCACAGAGTTCAGCTAGGCCATCTAATTGTGATGCTCTGAAAAGACTGATCACTATGTGGACGAGTTAATGAGATTGTACGAGTTATCATGGTCCTCGTTTTGCTGGAGGCGCGTGCCGTATGATATTACAGAAAATAAAACAATGCAACGGAAAACAGTGAAAATGGAACTTAACCCACCTCACTTCGGCCCATTCGCATACGGTCCTCCATCGCTCACCCACTGATTGAAGGGTTTGTTCGAGTGCACCTACTCGTTCATCAGACGATTCATTTCCATCCACCTAAATCAAAGAAAGTATGAACGAAGATGCAAGAAAAGGTGAGCTGTCACCGAATTTTTAGCTGTTGTTCTGTTTTAGTTCTTTTAGGATGCGCCTTGCGTCCGACTCTATTCGGGATCAGAGCGACGTTTGATAAGTACTACCTCATTCAAGCATAGAAAGATGCCATGGAAGCTTTTACCCCAAAATTCCTCAGACCTTGGGAAACTGCTGTGGGAGAGTAAACAGAGAGGGAAGGTTTGTATGCTGCAATTTTGAGAAAAAAAACATTATAATGAAAGGGTAATCTCCTGCTTCCCCGAAAGAGACTACGCCCAGACGTTCTATGGTTCTCTCTCTCAGAGAAAAATAGTAAAAAATCAGACTGACCACGGCCACAAATGCACTGAGATCATTGATTGTTTCCTGAAAACCGTGGATTTTCGCCTGAAGTCGTGTATGCGCTTCGATTTGTTGAAGTGCAGCATCGTGGGTGGCCGCAAGTGGTTCACATGCAGCCATTTCGAATTCCACGCCCGTTAGCCATTGATCGATTGCCGCCAATTGTCTGGAAGAGCGATTCAATCAATACACATAGGATCGTTTCCGCAATACAGAAATTCCTCATACTAAGTATTTGAGAATACCAGAATACTGGGACGAGGACCGGAGTGACAAACAGAACCAAGCGGTTTGACGGGTTTGGGGTGGAATAGGGTAGTTTCATAGATTCACTTGTGAGTGAAAAATCGAACCTCATGTACCGTAGATATGAAAAACAGAAATTCTCGAAAAATTAACAAAGTAAACAAAGTGTTCAAACATTGATCAGTATTAAGTAAACTGTTAATCAGCCCCTAGGCAGCCTGTTTACGATTCCCATTATATTTCTATTTTCTATTCGTTACTGTTTATTTGCTTTGTTTTATATGTTAATTATAACTTTTACCAGTAATTTTCATTCCTTGGCTCACTCAAAGCAACTATATTCATCAATTATGGCTCAAACCCTGTTAGTCTGCAATAACCTACTTGGCAAATCGTACGCCTGAACGCTTGAGCATTAAATCTGGAAGATCGTAACCTTTACTTAAAGGCAACATTCACGATAAAAAAGTTATTGAGTTCTTACCTTATTAATACTCAGCGGCCCCCATGGGTTGTAGAAGGGACCCTCTCACTCCCCTGATCTCGACGTCCAGGGCATAGTGGCAGCCCCGTTGTTGCCGTCGTTCGCGTTTCCGCCCCTCGATCGGTGTCACTTTAGACGAGTGTCGAGA